ACCACCACCACCACCACCACCACCACCGTCTTCGCAGCAGTCTGCTTGGCGGACGCACTCTCAAAGATGGCCATGCACGTGGTTAGTCCAATCGTCGTACAAATCGGTAGAGTGGACAAATCCAGGCGGTCAGGGTTGTGGAAATCTACCAGCTTATTGATACACCGTCACGTCCACCTGGCCAACTATTAGAAGATGGTAGGGGGCGCTCACCGATCTTTCTTACCTAACTCACTCGTTCCGTTCCGTCTTACGGGCTCTCTCTCGAGACCAACCAGCAGCGGCACAGCGGCACATGGTATAGGCAGTATGTTATTACCGACAAAGACAAGGGAGACTGGAATGGCCATTTATGGCTTATTAGCCGTCGTCAGCCAGTCATACCCAACCCCGAAATGTGGAGCAGCCGAGGTTCGAACTCGTGACCTGTTAGTTAGAAGTCCACGCCTGTAACCACTGGGCCACGATCCCGTTGCCCTGTCCGTTTTCGATCGGGAATATACAACACTATTAGAAGACACTACGGTGGAAGCATAAAGTGACAGCAGCAGCGCCAAGCTAACGAGCAAAATAGTCGGGCTAGTTGGCTGCATTCACTGTCCTGAGAATGGCATCCGAAAAAAATTCCCATACCATGTCATCTGGAGGAGCTACATATGCTTCTGTCCTGAAAGAATGCTCAACTTATAATAATCCAGGGTTTACTCATTACGAAACCTCATGATCCCACCGGGCTGGATTGCAACACTTTGGGTGGGTCGATTCAGAATACTACTGAAGTTGGAAGATCGAAATGGGCAGAGAGAGTCGGTCGGTCGGGGGAAAGCAGGGTTGCGGTCAAGACGTACACAGATCTACCAGTTTACTGTATCTGGTGGCATAGAATATGGATTGAGACAGCACTGTCTCATGCATATTCTACCTTCATCCGAAAAAGCACCAACATCTTGGAGTATCGTAGACACTCCGTCCTCAGAGGACCGGCCAAGTTGACTACGTCCCTTCTCCTGAGCGACCTAACAAGTTTTACATTCTGAAGCTCTGTGCGCGTGACCATATTCACGCATGTGACATGTTTTGCTTCATCCTGCTCGGATCGGAGGCGCCAGAAGTGCGTGGGCGTGCGAACTTGTCCCGAGACATCAACATGTCATAAGGTGCTGATCCCCATTAACGCCGGATAAACTAACGTGACAAAACTTCCGGCGGACTGCCCATCCAGTCGATGTGTCGCATATTGTTTACGGTCGGTCGACATTCAGCTAGGCGGGCTGTCTTGTAAACAAAGTGACCTGTAATAAACAGGATCCTCTCAGTAGGAGTGCATGTCTGCGTGCGTGTAGAGCAGGATCACACACACACACACACACACACACATCGCTGGCCCGATAGACTGGTTCCTCATAGTAGAGGTGGTGCCGGAGCATTAATTCAAGGATGAAATTAAGGACAGCGACGTGACGACAGGTAACTCGAGAGATCGATGTTGTTCCTTGTGTAGGCTGTTAGTGAGGAGGGAACGGAAGAAGTAGAACGAACAGCCACCAGTCGCGTCCACATGAAGTCTGTCAAGGTAGATGTTCACATAGGGACTAATCAACAAAACTCTGGCCAAATTTTTTGGATACAAAAGCCAACGTCCTGCTTACCCATAGATGCTGCATCACAGAAGTTATTGTCGCTCAGAAATCCTTGCTATAAGAAACGATCAAAATGGAAGAGACCGACTTACTAATCCGTCGCTAGAGAGCCTCACTTCTTCTGAGGTAGAAATAGAATGAAATCTTCGTCACAAAAAGGAGCAACAAGCTCTCAGGAAATTTGAGCCGGATTGGCAGCGAGGACCGCTACGTAATGGAGTTCAAAAAACCTTTTTATAGGAGGGAAACACAGTGTCTGTCACGCGGCCTTCGGTAATACAGACATAGTCGAAAAGAGGTGGTGGGAGCACCATAATTAACACACTTCCCACAGAACTCGGAGCCCGTGGAACGATACTATCGAAGGAATGGTGCTGCACGGAGCCAACAAACTCTTCAATGGTGCAATCTTAGGATTTTCAGAATATGCACGGGATCGGTGTCCTCCCCTCCCGCCGAAAAAGGTGAATCTACCAACCAAACCGACTTATGGTCAAACAAAGCGGTCGGAGAACTCTTTCTTTTTCTCAAACACTCACCCTGGACTTCTCAATGTTGCAATTTTGAGCATTGTTATCTCAAATTCGGAAAATTATCATTTGAAAAAACTAGCCGCTTTGTTGCTGTCTTCAAATACACCTTAAAAAGACGCTCAGACGAATGCGAGAGTTCACTATTTTTAACCAATATTCTCCGTATTCATCCGAGTATCTCTGGTTTGAATGAGGTCAAATTGTACTGGTGGTGAAAGTTGCCTGTATTAGGCAGTATTAAATGAGACCTACTCGGTTAGAAGTTTGCAGTAACATTAACAAGTATTTCTTGGAGTAGGAATAGTCGTCAGAAGGGAAGAGCTAGGTGATGTAAGCCGCATTTGCAGGATTTTTCCTTAGATTGTTTATAGTTCTTACACTGACGTGGACACGGTCTGTTCAACCACGGCGCTCCGGACCCAATATCCGCAATATTGCGCAAATGGAAATGTCTTAACCAATGCTAATGGTGTTTCTCAAAGCCGGTCAATGCGAAGTTACTGCGGTGGCCAAGAAAGAATTATATATTCTAACCATCTAAGGTATAAATATGTATCCGGAAGCAGCAGAAACCAGAAGATGACGGCCAGCAATTGGCGCATTCTATACACTGGCCGTCCTGATTCACTGAACAGTGGGCTTTGGATATGACATGTGAATTCCGAGGTCTTCTGACCAAGAACATTCTTTATTGACCTTTCTTCAAGTAAGTATCGATAAGAGACGCCATATCGGCTCGTCTTCGTCGTTTTGAGCCACAGTGTCGCATACTTTTTCCCCACTTGGGAGGCAAACCAATATCTCGAAACATGCTCATCGTTTCTTTGGTCCAATGGACGCATTCGACCACAGTAAAATGGAAAATGTATACAGGGCTTATAGTGGGAAGCACTTCCCCCATACGGGACCTATTGCTCCTTACACTGATGGGTGGTAATTAGCCTACCAGGGACTTGTAATGGCCAGAAGACTTGGTGCTGGTCCATGCTTCCTAGTTATATCTCTACCGACATTAGCTAGTGATGGCTGTATACGCTAAGGTTGTCCCCGGCAGCGATGTCTAACCCACCCTCATCGCTTCGTTCCCAGACCGAAATGAGGATCTTCCTGGTTAAATCACCTGTTTAGCATCCCAAGGGTGGAACTGCAGAGAAGAATGATCGTCTTCTGGTTAATTTCGCGAGGTTATTCGTTATGCTCCGCCGGTGCACTGCATTTCAGGGTCAGATGTGTTTCTGTAGCTCTGTCCAAGGTGGTGTGGTCGACAGGACAGAGGCTTCCAAATCAAATGTCAGGGAAGACGGACTGGGTTTGGACGACTTTTACTGCTGGAAGTGCGTACACAAAGCTCCGCAAGCAGTCGCCGCCGCGAGGGAGCTCTCCAGGCAAGTTGCTGTTGTCTGTGTCCGCCTTCGAGGTGCTGAGACCCAGCGCGTGTGTGCGCCTTTCGTTGTCTCAGCGTGCGCCAGCCAATCAGAGGGGGGCAGCGTTGATTGGTCTGGAGCACTCGCGAGGCTAGTGACAAGCCTCGCGTGTCCCAGCAGCGTATCGACAATGGGTTTGAGGCGGACAGGAAGGCAGCGTGGCAAAGGCGGAGGGCAAGGAGACGC